AAGTGATCAACTTTTTCCACCAAAATATCATCATTTATGCTCGCTTGGCGACGAATCCCTGAAAAAATCGCTTTTCCATCGTTGCTTAAAAGATCACTTTCCTTATTGAGAATCTAACAATTCATTATTGGTCTTGCTGCTTTGGCTAAATGTTGTTTCCCCGTAGCGCAACTCTATGCCACACGAAAAAATCAGGTTACAGGTAACATGCCATCAATGCTCGTGTAATGGCAACTGATCGAAGTAAACACCCAGTTTCGCTAGTGTAATGCTCGAGTAACGCACGCTTCCCACTGGTGCCTGCCCATTTATACAAGTAACGACCGCTTCTGGGTGCAGTACTTGAGCATTTGCCCTAATTTACTTGTATCAGTGAGCCACCGTAGCACTGAGTTCTGGTAACGTCCGGGAAATCTTCGTGTAATATAGTCCCATCGTTCGTGTAACTATCGGGCAGCATGAGGCGGGGTTATCGCTTCGTGTCTCGCGACAACAACCACCTCATTGTGTGATGGGACGGCTATTTCACCGCATCCTCTGCTGCCGATGGACGGTAACAGAACGCGACCTCTGGGCGAGGAGCGAAGTTGGTAATCTGATGTACCTGTAATCTGATGTTTTCGTGTAGCAAGTTGTTGTGGCCAAAGCCGCATTATCCGCTGGCCCGGATATTAGTCACCTGTCGCTCTCCATAAAGGTTATTGTTCAACATTGGAGTCAATCGGTCTGTCATGCTGCTAATACAGTGTTGGCCGGTTCACTACCGTTAAAAGCAGAACGAAATACGCGATTCAAAGAAAATTTCAAAGAAAACCGAGTTTTTCTGGCTCATATTTTAATGATAAAACTGACTTATAAAGAATTGAAACTAACCAATGCAGTCCATCACATTCAAATTTTTGATAAGATAACGGGCACACGCTTTGGCTACTGACATTACTTGAAGTGAATGCGCGGTCTTGTAAAGTTCGCCGACTTTTTTGCTGCTTATTTCCAATCTGCAAAAAACAAAATAGAAATCTTCTACGCATTCAATT